GCAATTCCGATTAATAAGCAGACAGGAAAAAGACGTGTACAAAATTTCAGATCGATATCTCAAGAACTGAAGAACCAATGCGCATATATACATGACTGACGGATATGGCTAAATCCATTATATTATATATCACCAGATTCACATATTCTGTTGAGGGTATAAAAATTCTGACAGGGTCAACAGACAATCTAATACAACAAAAACAAATTAACCAACGTCAACCTTTAATTTTTGCCTTATTCATTGTCAACTATTTGCGGTTATATTCGATGAGAAGTTTGCAAGACAACGTACTAAAACGCAAGGTACAAACTGTAAAACGACCTAACATAACACATGCTGATTGCCGCTAAAAACAGTAACAACGAGAATAGTGAAATGAAGAAACATGCAATGGGAACATAAAATTGCAACAGAATTGTTATCGCGCAAAATTAAATGGAAGCAAGCTTGCAACAACAATGCGGCAAAAAAGCAAGTTGGGATAAAATATATCTACCTAAGTTATTACACACTTCTCTATATATATAAGTGCACATATATATGTACCTTTGATACAATATACACTTACCGGCATATGCCGTCATTGATGTTTAGAAGCAGAAATAAAAGGAAGAATAAGAACAGTCAGCAGCAGAAGCATCGAACAATTGGAATGATTGTAAGGTCAATGCAGGAATGCAGACATTACTTATAAAGCGTATAAAAGAAGCCCTGACAAAGGATAACCAACTCGAGTAGACGGCAAGTCGAAGTGGATAGCGACTCATGCATGAGTGTTGCAACAAGTCGAGTAAGTAGTTTTTGTCGTCGATTGGAAGAATGCCTTGGCAAAACAGTTTATTTTCAGAGCAATAATTTCCAGGCCACTGCTGCTCCTACAGCCGCTTACGACACACTCGGATCACACGCAGCTCACTTTGAGGCTACGAAGTTAAAACGATTTATGGCGATGGCTGTTCTATCGACACACGCCTATCCAACAACGGACGTTGAATGCGGAATGTTCGTGAGGCAGGCTTAATTACAACAACAGCTTTAAAAACAATAACAATGTGAGTCATATACTCGTGCACGACACTACACATAGCAGGCAGCTGGGTCAGTGCGGTGTGCAATGTCTTCGGCTTGGCGCACGTGAAAGCCAACGGCTGTGGAGCAGATGTTGCCTGTTGGGCATGCCAATCAGCGGCATAGCGCAGGAGAACGGTTAGGCCAGTGAGCGAAATCGATTGTATCGACGGCAAATACATACTTGTATATAAGCAGCGGGCAGAGCGTAAACAAAAGGACATGGTAGGGAATGTGTTAGCGACTGGTGACCCTTTTGGAGCGCGCATCCAAGTATTTAGGAGTAGTTAGCTGTAGGTATGTAACTAAGTGCATAAGCCTGGCTGCAGCTGTTACTTGCTAGCGCACATACGCAACAGTAGTTTAGTGCCTGGCGCGGCAGTGTTGCTACTGCTAGCGCGAAGTGGCTGTCAGAGCTGTATATACAGTTGTGTGTGTATGTATGTATGCATGTAGCTTATGTGGAATTATCTAATTTACAGGCAACTGTCTGATTTATCAAGTATGTCATAGACTTTCTTTTGGTTAGTAGGCTACAGTCAGCACCATTGTCCTGTTATGTATGTGCGTGTGTATGCGTGTGTGCGTCAATGTCGCTTTCAAATGACTTTGTGCAAGCACTTAATATGCATTGGCGCTTTTGATGCATAGATTCCGAGGAAATCACTTAGATTATATAAGCGTATACAAGTTTGCATATATACATACATGTGTACATATATTTGGCTGCTGCATCTATTGTGGTTTTTGAGAGAACGAATTACTAACGTGGCATAACAAATCTTAACATTTGTTCAAAACTAAAGCATTTTTGAAAAATAATCTTCGTAAACATTGAAAATTGTAAAGGAGAATTGAAATTATTTTTCATAAGTTTAAATTATTATTCATCATTATCATTTAAATACAATTTTGCAGTTTACTAACAGTGGGCTGAAACAGCTAAAACTTTGTATTTATTATAATTTTTTTTTAAAGTTAAACAGTTGTAGAATAAAAATAAATGAGAATATAACAAATAAGGAAGGGCTAAGTTCCGGTGTAACCAAACATTTTATACTCTCGCTACTTGCAAGAATCAAAGCCGGGGAAATAGCTTCAAGTTTATATTAAAAAATTATGGGAAATCCTAATTTCACTCTGGCCTACTGAAAATCATTGTATGTATGTAGTATGTATATAGAGGCAGCGCAATTCGGGGATCCGAATCGCACATGTTCAGCATTAAATTGTAGCTTATCCAGTATTATACTTAATTTTTTTAGATATCTAGATATCATATTGACATATATTGGTCAATACGGTATAAAGCCAACCGGAAGTTTTAAATTCTCATGTAAATCTTAGAAATTTTCTTATATCATATATTTGGTATATATCTTTATCAAAAATAGAGGCTTTCTGAATTTTATTAAGAAACCTCACAGATTGACCTGAATTCATCAATTTTAGGCAAGAGTATACACTGGTATAAAGTCAACCGGAAGTTCGAATGTATTTATATTAGGTATATAGGGGGCTGTATCTTCTTAGAAGTCCAAATTGGTACTCCTAACATTCCTTGATTTGTAATTTTCAAGTATCTTACCTAACACAAAAATTTCGTTTGAATTTTTTCTTTAGCTGAGCGTTATCTTAAGAGAGCACTTTAATTAACGCCCTCAGTATTTTTGGGCGTACGAAAGACAGCGTGAACAAGGTTTTGGCAACAATCTATAACAATTCGCTCTCATATAAAATATATTCACAGTAATGCAAAGATCTTCTTCTTCTTTGCACTAGTGCTTAGAGAGTGGTGAATCGAAAAAACAACTGGTATCATTAAATAGAAATGTAGTAGAAAAAAGTTCATAGAACTTTAGAAAGGAATATACCGTAAATTTGTTATTGTTTCTTTGCACCCAATTTTTTGGCAAGTGAGTGAAACTCAAACGTAGTGAACAGAGGAGTGACGAATCGAAGACAATCGATAATGAGAGCATATAGGCCTTGCCGTATACAAAGCGTACAACTGCTCAATTTTCTATATACAATGCGAAACCAAACACAATACAAGGGTATGTCAAAAGGACGAAGTATATACCATATATGTACAAACAGTATGTACACCAATAGGAGAGAGAGAAGATAGAAAATATTTTGCAGCGCTTGTGGATACTTTGATACTCAAACTACAAAACTACAAACAGAACAACACGACAAAACCAAATAAAAGGATATAAAGAGCATTAAACGAAGTACGCTTTATAACAGGATCGATGCGACCTACAACAAACTGTGCTCAAACAACAAAGGCAGATGCAAAAAGCAACAGCGGGTACTAAACAATAAAAGGAAAAAAGAAATAATATAAAAAAATACCAGCCCTCCTCAATTAAACTATAAAATTGTATACACTAAGGGGAGAACGAAGTACAAAACAACAACACGCGACCTACCTTCGTGCGATCTCTAGGTAGAAGTAGTTAGAATAAATCGAATCACATATTAAATGCAGCGAATATTAAACACGCAACACCAACAACAAAATCCAACAATTCTGCCACTTAAATTAAGCCAGAGTCACAAAACACCGTAACAACAACAACATGCCTACTGTGCTGTTCACTGAGCCGCACGACGCGCCGCGGCATTAGCACACGTGAAAGTATCTCGCAGAACGCGTTTTGTATGCGCCAAGCGCAGGCGCAACGTCAAATTAAACAGCAACAACATAAGAACAATAACGAAGCAGCAAAAAAATTGTTAAGAACTCGTGGTATAGGCACAATGTAATGCGAACATGCAATGAATTTCAAAAATAAATAAATAAATGCAGCTCAGGCACCAGGCACCGCCAAATTTCACACAAATATACATCTAAGTATGCATGTGTAAGTGTGTGTGTTTGTGTGAAGGTAAGCACATAGGGTAATAGGGTCCATATATACATTTACATATATGTATATTTGTGTTGCATACCTGTACAATCGACGTCACACTCACTTGCTCACTCAATCACTTGGATATACGCTCACCCAGCGACTTACTCACGAATAACTGCGACAACCGAATGAGCGCCAGCAATTTCAATGTTATTGACTAAAACCCCGTTAACATTTTGCATGATTGTGCCTGCTTTATTAGCTATCTTCGATTCGCCAAGCATTGCAGAGTAGCGTATCGAACAAATTATACAAAATCTTTAAACAAACAAGAGAGCAATTGCGTTGCAACGCTGCGCCTGGATGCAATTATAATGGATTTTTAGCCTCAAGTTTTAATTTGTGAGAATAATTTACCAAAAAAAAAATTGGTAAAATTGAAGATAGCGGTTATAACACTTCCATGATGTATCCGCAAACCCTGTTGTATAAAATCAACTCAATGATTTTTTTTACTATTGTACTTTCACATGTAATATTTTTGGCAAGAGAGGAACGCGCAAAGATAGCGAGAAGAGTAATGGCGAATAGAACCCTACACTAGTAGTAGTAGTACCAGCAAAACGAAAAATTACGATACCATACATGGAGTCATTCAAAACGTATGCTGTGTAAAACAGCTAAATTGAATTCGGGGATACTTATGTTAAAATATGTCAAGTAAATAGAAAATAGAGTGGAAGAGAGTGAAAGAGAGAGAGAAAAATTATACGAAAATAATTATTAATTTGTTGTTGGTCAGCTTGAAAAAGACGATACTTTTCTTCCAACCTTTTATATAGCTCAAAGTCTCTGATTGAATTACAACTTCGAATCACAGATTCACTATTGGGTCTAAAGATATATTCTGTCGAATTTTTTTTTTTTTTAAATAAAAACTTTTTTCCATTATACCCGCATAGCTAGAACTCTCCCAAAAAGTTTATCGAACAAGAAGAAATGATTAAAAAATTATTTCACTCAATATTTATAATTATTTCTGCAAACATTGGTGAATAAGTCAACTGGGTTACTTGATAAATATAAAAAACAAAAGCATAACAAAGCAATATTTTTAGCACAAGCAGCGTGTATCGACTTCTTGCTTATGCTGAGTGTGAATTGCCTGCATGAATGACCAACCGGTGCACTGACTCACTAACTCACTCACCGGCTTATTCATCGCACAATGCTGAGTCGTTAGACTGGCTTGCTGCCAGCCAGATGCTCATATACATATGTTTGCATGTGTGTGTATATATACATCGACTTGTGGTAGTTTTTATTGCTGCCGGCTGTGTGCCTGTACGCCTATGCTATAGGCAGAAGGGAACAAAGGAAGCCACAAGCATTGGCTATGGATGGCTGGGTTAGCTGGCGCGCTGAAGTTGAACATGTTCTGGCAAAGGCGCGCAGCCGCAGTTGTAAAGGGATATGCGTGCCGTAAAGAACTACGCGTAATGTGGCACGGATGAATGCGACTTAATGTAACTACATTCCTAATTATTTGCAAAGGAATATTGTGTTTTAAGTGCTATATGAAATTATTGATTGCTTTGTAATAGAGAGTGCGCTATTAGAAAAACCTTGAAGAATGTAAAAAATATGCAAAAAAAAATATTAATTAAATAATTTAGTAATTAAAAATTATTCTTGCTTGTGCGAAAAATATATTTCTATGCACACATACATACATATATGCAAAAGTAGTGTACCTTCCACCGCATCCTTAAGCGAAGCGACAAACGTCTGCAGCAGTTAGTGCAACAACAACAACAAATACGCCTAGTGAACTCGTGCGCTCATTTAGCCCTACGCCGCGGCTGTTAAATTCGCTTTAAAAGGTCACACACACATACATACCATATTTGTATATTGTGCGCGTGGAGTCGAGGCAAACGAGTACGGAAGTACATACATATGTATATATATGTATGCATAAATATGTATGTATGTATAAGCACATATCTCAATAATACAAACGCAAGTAAAGGTATTGCAATAAGAAAATTAGGGGGTTCTTGGAGGGGAGTACCGATAATAGTGGCAGCTGCTATTTTTCGGTTACTTCAAATATATTAATTTTATATATATGTGTGTGTGTGTTTAAAAGTGCATATAAACGAAAATATTTACATATTTACACCTATACATACATATGTTGGCACGGCAGCTGCTTGAAATGAAATTGTATTTGCTGCTAAAAATAACCTACGCTATAACAGAAATACGAGCTTCAGCTATTTGAAGCCGACGAAAAAAAATAATAAGTGTAATAAGAAAATATGAGCGTGCATTTATTTAAAAATCTGCTCAGAATAAACTAAAGGCCTGTTTTTGCATATTAAATGGCGATGCTCTGGTGAAATTATGTTAAAATATTGCATACGCATATAAAAAGTATATTTATAAATGATTTAAAAAATTCTCCAAACTTACTTATAAATGTCTAATACGCTGCCTAGTGTCAAAAATATCCACATACTAACCTAAAATCCACTAAAATTATACCCAAAACCATTATAAAGTGAAATTGAGCGCAAAAATACAGTTATCAATTTAAAAAAAAATTCCACAAAATAACATTATTACATCATTTTTATACAACAACTAGTCCGAAATGGCCCACAGTCTCCAAGGACAACAGTTGCGCAAGGCAACTGCCTTCGTTGTCGGCACGAACTGTAGCCTTTACATAATTATCATCACGTTGACAATGTATCTAGCAGCACTGCAAGTGGCCACCGCATTGTCAGAGTATACACACGCGCATCAGCGGCATCACCGACATCAGCAGCATGGCGTTGCCGCAGCAAATACCACTGCCGCGGGCAGCAGCGACGGCAGCAGTACGAGCAGCATTGCCACCACTGGTACTGCTACCAGCAATGTGTCGTTTGGCATGCATCACACCAATTGGCGTCGCATTGAAATGATGGATGCCAATGGCCTGTACTGGCTGGAGTGGTGGCTGAAAGGCACCACCTCGAAGGAGATACACTTTCGTGCCACTGTCAATACACGCGGCTTCATTGGACTCGGTTTTGCGCGGAAGTATCCCCGCATGGCCAATGCTGATTTGGTGTTGCTGTGGGTCGACGATCGTACCGGCAAAGCAAATGCGCTGGTGAGTTATAAATATTTAGATGTGTAATTATGTGATTGAATATATATACATACAGACTAATGTAAGTGCATAATTTCAACGATTTGGAAAAATATATAAATATATATTACTATAAACAAATATTTAAAAACTACATTGAAATGTGTATTTGCTTTGTACAGGAAGCAAGGTGTTCAAAATAGCTTAGCATTGTATAAGTTTGAGTATATATAGGTATACTGCAACTATCAAAAAATGCAGTTGACGCACATTGGTTTAAAATAAGCCTAAACCCGGCTATTTTCAGGAAGCTGCCATTTTGTCAAAAATTAAAATATTGCGCCATACCTCGATCATTACCAGTATCCATCTATTTTACAATAATAATACATTTTGCGATAATTTTAAGCAGACAAATCTACCTTACCGTCTGACAACTTATTTTCGGAGGTCCTTCTGGTGATCGGCTACGAATTTAAGAAAACTGAAAATTTATCCTAGTCGTAAATTACAAGTATACATACATATGTAAATACAAACACTTCACTACTTCACTTCATCTTTTTCATACACCTTTAGAGCTACTAAAAATTCCGGGAGTAATAAATAACAATTCAGAAGCTTGTTTATACTATGTAAATATTATATGTACACAAACATATATACCTATGTAGATACAACACTTTTAGGCATTCCTTTTGTCTCTTCACACAACAACAAAACAAGTTGTTCACACTCATAGTGTTTTTTTGTTTTTGACAAATCAGTTACTCTTATTACCAGCTACTCCTATTACGCTTCAGTACGCCGCCATTTCCCATACTTCTCGCCGCTTATCGTCAACGAACCCTAATAGACGCTGATTTGCAAATTTTTGCTTAATTTTTAAGGGCTTCCATCCGCTGCTTGTTAATGCTATGCGCACGACAATAGTTGTTTAAAATTTTACTCCTGCCTTTTTATTGCACACTCATTTTGTTGTGTTATTCGATATCAAATCGTTCCAAAATAGCGAGTCATAAAAAGTCCTTTTATGTGTTGAAGTTTTGACAAATTCTTTTAGGCAAGGGTTTTATACTGCTTTTGCATTTCGACGTCAATTTTATGTTGGCTGCTCTGGATTATTATACGTGTCTGTGTACCTTCATTTGATCCGTCTAGCGAAAATATACCAAAATTGTCTAGTAATAAAAAAATAACAACAAGGTATATCTGTGAAGAGTAAACAGGTTATATGTAACCAACACAGTAGAAAAAATTCTTGCAGAAACTTGGTAGAATACCTGCAATTTGAATTCGAAACTGCAAGTAGCGATATGGCTTCCACACCTAGTTGCATAAGATAGCGATTAGTTCCAAAAAAAAAAATATTTTTTTTTATATATAATCAAGTGCCATTTGAAGTTGGTATGCTCTACGTGGTAGTACGATAATTTTACGAATAATAAGGCTTCTTGCAAGCCTTAAATAAGAACTTTCAGTGAAGACTGCTCAACTCATAAACAAATAACTTATCAAAACTTTATACAAATTCTTTGATCTATTTTTAGGAATAAGAAATTTTTCGTGGCCGCATTTTTCGGAGATTTCTCATTACTTACCGAATTATGATGTTATTCGAAAACCGGTTTCAAACGCCAGGTCCGATGTATTTATAATGTTCATGTGCGCCTCTAAAGGCTGCTTCACCGCTCCTTACTCTTTTCTATTTTCATCGTGATTTAATCGTCAGATAGCTGCATAAGATGTTTTTAAATTTCGTTGTTGAATTTTATAAATGAGCAATTTCAGCGAAATTTGTGGGATTATAGTTAGTTTTTTGGCGTCTAAAGAATACTGGCGCTCCTTTAAAAATTTCTAAGGGGCACACCTAGTTTAGCTTTTCAAATTTGCTTGAGTGACTACTCGGAGACTTATAATTCAATCACTATCAAATAGTACAATAGTTCTCCAATGACTTATCAGTTTTTTGATCTTATCAAAAATCGATTTTCCGCAGACCAATATTAACCCAACTTTTCGGTAACATTCAACTTTATTACAAACATCGCCACTTTGTCCATTAGTATTTTTTGGAATTTTTTTTTTTTTTAATATAAAATAGTCTGTGTTCACCGGAGAGAATGTAGCTTCTCAACGGTGAAAGCATTTTTTTTTATTTCGAGACCTCTTCAATTCAAAGAAACAATCATTACACACATATCACATATTTTCTCTTTATAATATGAGTAAAGATTATTATTTTTATCCGCACTCTAGACGAGACGTTTTCTTTTGTAAATGTATGTAAAGACTTTACTCAAGTGGGTCAAATGCACATTGAAGTGGTATGATATTTATTATTGCCAACACACGTTGCGCAATAAATAATCTAACAAATTTTAAGATTACTACAAGTTGCAGCATCTTTATACTTCACACGAGAGCTCGCTTCACTCACATTTACATTTATACATACAAAATATATTATAATATATTATATATATATATATATAAGTATGTGTGAATATCGATGTGAGAAAGCGCTCAGGTAAATAAGTTCGTGACTAGTGCAACTAGAGCTTCTATGAGTAAAACCATTTTCGGTATTAATATTGTGTTAATATTACTTACATACATATAGATGTGTGTATGTGTCTGTGTGGCAAAAGTCTGCAAGGTATAAAGCACAATTTTAATTACAACATTTGTATAAGCAGAGGATATGGAAATGCGTGCGGATATGAGAGCAGGAATTTGAGTATTATTTAACATTGCATAAGCTATACAAATGTACACATAAACATATGTATGTATGTTACGCAACGATATAGTAGGATTTATTAGTTGATTTATACATACATACAGACCATATGTGTAGCTATCTTGATAAGAACTTACATTTATTACATATATCTGTATTTATTAATATGCATTGCAAATAGGTAAGCAATAAATACTATATACTCGTGTATTGGCATAACAGAACGTAGCATAACCAAACATCTCATAATAAAACAACACATATGTAATTCCACAAAAGAGTCACATTTTGTCATTTATGAGCATTTTCTTGCAAAAACGTCAATCACTTGTTAGCAAAATAAATTCAAGCATCCTTTGCTTTGAGTTCTTACCTTGTCTAATATGTAATTATGTACACCTGTATATATGTACATGTGTGCATACGCTCGCAGGTCAACACTTGTAACTATTTGTTTTTGCCTACCTGACATTTATATTGCCGCCGTCACACACGTACAATGACTTAACTTCATCTTAATTAGCCGTGTCCTTTTGTTATTATCATAACCCCAACTGGATAATATATACAAATGTTTGGTAATTTCTCAGAAATGTCTAAAGACTAAATGTGACAAAAACTTTTGTACAAACATACAAACGGAATACGGACAATATAATAATTAATCTTGCCAAATTTAGCAGGTAGACGAGAGGAGGAAGATTAGTTAATGGCAAGGAAGTAGTGTCTTGTGATGTATAATTATTTATACACGTGTTTTCTCCCTAAGAAGCATCTCATTCATCGGAACTGCCGACATCGGACTACTAAAGCATATAGCTGTTATACAAACTGAACGATCAGAATCAAGTGCTTGTATGGAAAACTTTTTATTTGACGAGATATCTTTGCAAAATCTGACACGAATTATTGTCTAAAGCAACGGTACAATCTCCGCAAGAATTGTTAAGATCGGGTCAAAATAGTATATAGCTATCATACAAACTGAACCATCAAAATCAAGTCTCTGTATGGAAAACTTTTTTATTTGACTAGATATCTTCACAAACTATGGAATCCATGCCATCCAGTTTAAGGCAACGATACAATTTTTGAAAAAGAATTTCAAATTGTGGCACTGTAATATATAGTCACGTAACGCATCCCACACTTTCTACATTCCACAATGAGTGTGTGGGGGCATTGTTGAGGTAGAATGTAAGACAACGGCGTAAAGCTCTACCTTTTTTTATCTCAACTTCCGAGGATGTGAGACGTGTCGGTGATTGCTGCGGTTGCGTGACGGTCGGGTACTATTTTTGCTAAAACTAATGTGTTCTTTTTATATCTAGTATAATGTAAATTCACGTTTTATTTTATAAAAAAAAAATACAATTTCTCCGAATTTTATTTATTGTGCGTCGGCTAAGCCATTATTCAGCCACCCGCTACAAAACTATATAGCTGTCATACCAACTGAACGATCAAAAGCAAGTTATTGTACGGAACATTTTTTTATTTGTTGGGATATTTTTACGAAACACTTTTTAGCAAGAATTATTGTCTAAGGCAACGGTATAATTTTCGAATAAAAAATTTCATATCGGACCACTATAGTATTATATATAGCTGCCATACAAACTTCTTGTATGAAAACATTTGTATTTGTAAAAGGTTTTATAGTTTCGGTGCAACCGAAGTTAACGGTATTTCTTGTTTTAAGCTATATTTATGCTTTTTTAATAAGAAACTTTATTCGACGTCAAACCAAATTTAAGGCAATATTGAAGAGTATTAAATACCGTTATACACATATGGTTTATATACGTAGAGTGAAATGTATTTTGAGCTATATTCACCGTTATTTTACGAAAATGTAGGCATATAATAACTACTAGAATCAGACGAAGTGTGCCAAAGAATTATATCTCGAACTACACAATAATTTAAACACATCGGTAAAGGTTAGGTTACGGTAACCATTGTTATACCTATATCATATACATATAATTGTGTAAACTGTCACCCAAAAAAATTTTTTAAAAAGCTAGACTAGGCTATATCATACATATCTGAGCAGACAATAAAAGAGCACAGTACTCAAAAATTGCTGCCATCCATATATATAAATATATATGTCTTTTCTACAAGTAATTAATTTATCGCCCTTTGGTACTGCGAAAATCACCTAATAAATGCGGTTATATTAAATAACGCAACTCAATTAGCTAAAACCAATGACGCCCTCGAGCTTTGCCCTACTCATACACTTTATTAATTAACAGTGAATTGTATAAAC